TTGTTTATACATATTTAAATTTATTATTTTATTATATAAATATATTTTTTATATTAATATTTGTTATTTTTATTTATTTATTTTATATTAAATTTTATTTACAATAAACTATAGAAATGAAAATAACTCAAAAAATAAAAGATATATCTGAAGTAGAGCAGACTATAAATCTATTTCAACATGAATACTAGCATACGACTGGTACCAACCTATTCAAAAACTTTTCAGTGAACGATAACTACTCAGTATTCATCGACAGGTTTAGCAAGGCTTTTGAGTTGTACATCCCATCAACTACAAAACCATTTATTAAAAAGAAAGAACCATGGAACACACCAGAAGTCAAGGAGGCAGTTAAAAAAAAAAAGAATACTCTGGAGCAAATATCTTAAAGCAGGAAATAATTCTCATGAGATAATTAAAAAAGAACATCAAGATGTATGTAAAAACATGATGAAGGTTGTCAAATCTGCAACCAAGGCATATGAAAAAAAATTGCAAATCGATTTAAATCGGACCCTAAACACTTACATGAATATGTACGACATAAGCAAATGAACAAAGAGTCAATAAGATCTCTGAAAGATAATGAAGGTAAAATTACAACGAAGGAAGAAGAAATTGCCCACATAATAAACGAATATTTTCAATCAGTATTTATCACCGATACGGATGAACAAATGCCGCAATTCAAAAATAAAACGGAAGTCTAATGCAAAATAAACAAATTCTCAATAAAACAATCATATGTCAGAGAAAAGCTGGAACACCTAATAGAATCGAAATCCAAAGGTCACGATGGAGTACACCCCCGGGTGTTAAAAAACTGTTCCTCTGCTTTTGCTGTGCCACTCACACTCATATTACAAAAGTCTTTTGCTGAAAGTCATATACCTGAATTATGTAGAAAGTCAAATATCACACCGATTTTAAAAAAAGGGAGTAAACAAAAAAAAGCTAACTATCAACCGGTATCTCTAACATCTGTCTCTTGCAAAGTAATGAAGAGTTTCGTTCACGATATCATAATGAAGCATTGCATCATAAATAACCTAATCACTAAAGACCAGCATGGTTTTCTTCTGTGACGAGGTTGTACCACTAATTTATTAGAAACAAGAGACATATTAAAATATACAATTTCCGAAGGTTATGCCATAGACTTTATCTATACTGACTTTGCAAAGGCGTTTGGCAAAGTATCACACTAGCGGCTACTTCATAAGCTTAAATCATACGGTGTATTTAGAACTCTACTCGAGTGGATAGATAACTGGCTGGCAAACTGACAACAAAGAGTAACAATCGGTAATCATAAATCAGATTGGAAGAAAGTCACAAGAGGTGTTCTACAGGGTTCAGTGCTTGGACCTTATTCATACTCTATATAAACGATTTACCTGATAATATAGCACATCAAATTAAAATGTACGCTGACGACAGCAAATTTATAGGCTTAATAAAGAGCAAGGCAGATGCTGTAACGTTACAAAATGATATAGACGAAGTAGTACATTGATCCAAAATATGGCTCATGGAGTTGAATGTGGTAAAATGCAAAGTCATGCATGTTGGACGCCTAATCAACAAATCGACTCAAGACTATACAATGCTCGATCAATTAGGAAACAGAAAAACCCTTGAAAGCACCAATAATGAAAGTGATCTGGGAATAATCGTTTCTCATGACTTGAGAGTGAAATATCAAGTAGAAGCGGCATCAGCAAGAGTCAATTGTATGTTAGGCTCTCTTAGAAAAGCTTTTAGAAGCAGAGGACCCTACATATGGTGTACAAGACTTTCCTTGTGGAAAGTCTTGTACACCATATATGTCAGACCACATCTTGAATTTGCTATACAAGCTTGGTCTCCACATCTAAAACAAGATATAATTATGCTAGAATGCATTCAACAAAGAGCAACAAAAACAGTCACAGAAATCAAACATTAATCATATGAGGAGAGGCTCCAAATCCTTGGACTCACAACTCTTGAAGAAAGAAGAAATTGAGGTGATTTGATTCAGCATTTTAAAATCGTTCAAGGCATCGAAAAATAGAATTTGCCGTACCACAGGTGTACGCGCCATCAATAGTAAATTACTGCCTACGAGGATACAACCGTAGATTAATAAAGCAAGTAGTCAAAAATTGCGAAGAGAGGAAGCATTTCTTCACTAACCGCATGGTAAATGCATGGAACTCGCTTTCTGAAAAAGCAGCATATGCAGTATCGTTAAATTCCTTCAAGGATAACATTGATGGAAAAATAACAAACAATAGACACAGCGTGTGTCTTTAAGCTGTCAGCATAGTAGTGCCTGGTGTCAAACTACTTCATTAGAATTTTTAATAATTTTTGTATTGTAAATTTCTAATTCTAAATAAATAAATAAATAAATTAATTTTTAAGTTCATCTATTTACAAAAACAATTAATTACAATAATATAACCAAATTTAATCCTTGCCGTAACCCTAACCCTAATTCAGACCTTGATGCCTGGCCAAACCAAACTCTTAGTCAATGTAGCAGTACTCCCTTGCGAGTCAGGCTATTTGTCAGTCGATGTATGCAATTTTCGTTGTCTGTAAAAGTTTCTTACAGGTACATTTAAAAAAAAAAAAATCATGCTCACAGGGACAAAAAAATAACGGGTACACTAAAATGTCCCCGATAAGTGCTTAACTATACAAATATATATATATATATATATATATATATATATATATATATATATATATATATATATATATATATATATATATATATATACATCTATATATATGTATATATATATATATATATATATATATATATATATATATATACATCTATATATATGTATATATATATATATATATATATATATATATATATATATATATATATATATATATATATATATATATATATAATTAAATGCTTAATTGAGACAATAAAGATTTTAAGGAGGATATTTTAAATGATATTACATAAACCAATAACAATATTTTTGTATAAATCATCTTGAGCTGTTGCATTAACAGACTCAAGGACTTTGTTATCAGTCTTATATTCTTTAAAAGATGCTACAAAATTATTCAGAAAGGATGTTGCTGAAAAGATAAAATCATGAACTATTTATAAAAGGGATGTTTTTATATAAATTAGCTTCAAATAATACAAAAAAATTCTTTCAGCTATTTCTTGATAATTAAAGAGCTCATTAATTGCTTTAACAGTTTTTGGCAAATTATTTTATGTTTGCTAATGATTTCATTTATAATTTGTCAACTGCGCTGGAATCATTTTGGTATTTCTCTTTTATTTAGTAGAGTAAGTACCTGCTGGTATTGTTCAACCAAGGCCAGGGTTGTAAATAGAGTTGCAAAAAAAACCGTTTTTTTTTAATTGTGTTTTTTTTGCAAAAAAAACATGTTTTTTTTGTGTTTTTTGTGTTTTTTATGTTTTTTTTTGTTTTTTAGATAAAAAATTTTTTACTTTTATTTAATTTTTATTTTTATTATAAATGTAATATAATATATATTAATAACATGATATATGGTAAATATATAGTACATCATTTAAAAGATTTATTTTTAATTAATAACAGATTCTGTATTCAGGCTTTCTTGTTCATTAAGGTCTTCTATTGTAAAGTCAAATCCGTATTCTTCAGAGTCGCTTGATAACTCTGACTCTAAACTCTTGTACTCTCCTAAAATGTAGGATGCAATTTTATTTTTCTGAGTTGTGAATGGAACTCTTGTTGAAGAATACAATCGTTTTAAGGGAGGCTTATCTGATTTGGTTTTATTTGCCTTACAGTCTCCAAACTTAGGGGTTGTAGACCTACTTTGGTTTCCAAAACAGCTTGGTGTTGGAAAGAAAGACTCAATTGGAACTTGTGGAATAGCAGATGATAAACATATTTTTTTCTCTTTTTTCATATCTTGAATAGGTAAGTTTTCAGGAATATCTTCTTCCATCATTAGTTCAGTTTGAACTTTCTTCTGTTTAAAAGGCATATCGTTCAAATATTTGTTTTTTATTTGATCGCCACATTTCATACATTTTGCAATGTGCTCAGTCATTCGAGTGCCATTTTTTGATAGCTTTAAGCTGCAAAATTTGCATATAACTTGTTGAATTTTAGAACCTCCAGATTCTAAAGGTGCCTCATTGAACAATGTAGCTACAAAACATTTCTTTCTGCCTGGCATATTTTTTTTTTAGATTTCTTTTTTTTTTTTTAATTAAAAATAATTAATAGATTACAAATTGTTTAATATAAATGTTTTTTCATTAGACAAATTTAATCATTGTGTTATTTTTATTTACTTGAATATTGTTTGAATAAATAAAATTTTAGCTATCTAATTGCAATTTAAAATAAAATAAAGAATTTAAATATTAAAAATTTAAAAAAGTAATATACAAAAGTAAATAAAACATTAAAGTAAATTTTATTTAACAGTTGGTTCATTTTTGTATTTTGCAATGCAGTGTTATTTCATTCATTTTTATGAATGAAATAACACTGCTAAAATAACATTTTTATTTCCTTCATTCAGTAGTATTATACTTACAATTAACTAGTAGCTAATAGTATAGTTTTATTGAGATTTATTTAAAAAATTACTTTTTTAAATATTTAATACTGTTTTTTTTTAATATTGGTGATTAGTTTGTAACAGCTATTATATAAGTTAATATGCATTTTATTAAATAGAAAACATTTGTATTTTGTAGGTTTAAGGGCACTGGAACTGTTTCAAGTATTATTATTATCTAAAATTTAATGAATACTAAAAAAAAGCAAAAAAAACTATAAAAAACATGTTTTTAGAACCAGTCTGTTTTTTTTGCAAAAAAAACGTGTTTTTTTTAAAAAAAACACACCGTTTTTTTTGGGGTTGCAACTCTAGTTGTAAAAGCTCTATATTTAGATGTGTTTGGGCTAAATATGGAGTTTTTTCTCATCTGTATGTTTGTTTATCTTTCATTTTCAGTGCTTTAATTTAAAGTTTTTTTTATAGTGACTAAAATTTACACTTAACTGTTGAGATTGTTTGGTTTGTTATGATTGTTGGCTCATGATTAAGTGATCTGATATTAAAACAGCTCTGAAAACAGCTCTGAAAGAAAATACATAACTATGTCTTCATTTTCAAGTTCACAACTGGAGAAAAAATTAAAAGTTTTAACTATGTCACAACAGAGTATTCAGACGCTATCTTTATGGTGCATTCATCATCGAAAACACTCAAAGAAGGTTGTTCAAACCTGGTTTAAAGAGCTTCAAAGAGGTGATAAGTCTTTCATATATTTATTTGATTTTTTTTAATTTTAGGGTTGATGCCAGATAATAAAAACAGAAATAAAGCAGGGGCGGATCCAGCATTTTTTGGTTGTTGAGCTAACTTCCGGACATGGAGCAAACTCCAAACATTTATATGTTTATACCTTATAAAAGAAAAGAGAGAATACAAAGCATTTTGTTTCATTTGCAATATTTTTATATCCATAAGTCATGGTGGAAAATCAATCATAAATCATAAAATATATAATCATAATATTAAAATCAATCATAAATCATAAAATATATAATCATAATATTAAAATCAATCATAAATCATAAAATATATAATCATAATATTAAAATCAATCATAAATCATAAAATATATAATCATAATATTAAAATCAGTCATATAAAATAAAATCATCATCAATCATAAAATAAAAATCAAGCATTAGAGGTTATTTCATGGAATAGGATGACCCTGTTCTAAAGTGGAAGAGCCACTTTAGAACAAGAAACAATACAGGACCAAGAATAAAACCTTGAGATGTCCCAGACAGTGTTGGGGTCAAATACATATTTGTATTTAAAATTGTATTAAGGTCATTCCATGTCAAATCAACTAAAAAAAGAAATATTCGGTCATCTCGGATTTTGCTGATTTTTGGAGTAAAAGCTTAAATTAATGAAAGAAAACTTCACTCCAAATTTTAGTATCAGACTTCTTAGGGTTTTAGAGATATTGATACTCGGTCCCAATCTCTTTTTTGACTTTTTTATCAGCGCCATTTATTTTTAATAAACGGCGCTGATAAAAATATATAAATAAAAGATATACTTGTTCAATAGTGACCTAACTACTTTTTAGGGTGAGGAACTCAAAAATTATGGCTAAAATGTTAAAAAATTTAAGCTTCTATATAAATATTCAAGTTCAAAATGGTGTAACACTTTTTGTAAGATTTTTGATGCCCCGTACAAAAAAAATTTCAGAATAATATCATTTAGGCATCTCAAGATGCCTAAATGATATTATTCTGAAATTTTGTCCTAATGTTCTATATGTAACAAACTCCATAATACAAAAAATATGAAAGGGTTTTCTTTTTTAAATCAAATTTATTTGCATTCAAAGTCTTATAACAATAAATCAAAAAAATATTGAAATTACACTAAAAACATGGAAATGATTAAATTGCAATAAGAAAAATTAAAACTAAAAGATAATAAGAATTAACAATCTTCGACATTAAAAAAAAAAAAAGAATTAAAAATCTTTGACATAACAAATTAGTTCTCTGGTTTAAAGTTTGCCCAGCTATCTTCAATCCTCTGGTGATCAATTTCACTGATTTTGTATTTTCTTCTTCTAACATTTGTTGGAATATTAATCATTAACAATAAGTTTGTTGATGGAAACCAGCAAACATCATCTCTAGAAGGCCAATAATATGACCTTAAAGGGTAACATGGACGCATTTCACTTCGAATTATCGTGTTTCGACTCCTTGGATATGTAATAAAAATTAATTTCTATGATTTCATTTTGGCAAAAATTAAACATTGCAGATGCTGTAAGAATATGATTTGTTGTTTGATGAAGGTACATTTCATAGCAAAATCTTGTTCATAGTAGCATATATTTACGAAGTGTTTGCAGTTCTTGTACTGGCCAGCAATCCCATCTGAAAAGTAATGGACACTTTCTTTTTGATAAGAAATATTGCTTTTAATATGTTCAATTGTTAGCTTCATCTCATGATAAACCATATCAACATCATGCAGTAAATTATCTGAGATAAAACATATTGAATCACATTTGAGGACATTATTTTCTTTATAATAAATTACTGTTGGGTGCAATGTTGCTTGAATTTAGTTCCAGTGATTTTCCAACAGATTCCAATTTTCTGAGAAATCACAAAGGACAATGACCTCAGTACTACTTAACTTATTTTTTAACTTTCTTAGAGAAGCAGATAAATAAGTTACAAAAACTTATTTTTCATTTTTTAACTTTCTTAAAGAAGCAGATAAATAAGTTACAAAAACTTACTGTTCATTCTTGCATTTGCAATGCAAGAATGAACAGTAAGTTTTTGTAACTTTTTTTTCAAAGTAATAATAAAGCTACTTGTCGTTTCTGTTGTTTTCCATTGTTTGTAATCTATACAATAATCATTATCTTCATCAATATCAGCTTGAGAGTACAACTCATTTTCAAGACTACTACTAATGTAGAATCTTCTGGGCACAAAGGGCAATGATGTATCATGCAAGTCTTGTTCGCCCTACTACAAACAAGCATATCAGTAAGCTCGTGATAATCCTTTGATAATTCAACTACACTAATCATTAACTTAACATTTTGATGGTAGTTGCACACACATACTGTATGCGTACCAGATGCTCCAACTGAAATGCACCATTTTGGACGATGTGAACAAAAGTTAAAAAAACAGGTTTTAAACTTTGCATATAGCTCTTTTAGATTTAAAAGAATGAAACGCTTTTACAGTGAGATCTTCGAGCTATACTAACAAAATCTTTTTTACCAGACATTAGCCTGTTATTTTCATCATTACAATAAAATTCATTAACTTTATTTTAGTAACATTAAATTCTTTTTCTATATCTTTGTGAGACCAAGACGTTGGAACCAATGTTAGTAGTTAAATTTTCTGATTACAATTGGAAATTAACATTTTTTCTTTGATTTTTCTAATAAGTACATCCATGTCATTTGCTTTATCTTTAACTTCCTTAGATAATTTATTGAAGGAATCTTCTTGGCTTAACTGTTCAGGATCTAAAGTCCTTGCAATACCTAACTTTACTATTTTTTGAACATGTAACAATTTTTTTTTGCCAAGAGCAACTCTTAAGTGACTATTTACAGCATGCATATTGAGAGGACTTATGTTCATAGTTGTCAAAGAAGAATTAAGATTTTTTTTAACAATTCATTTATATTAAGTTCATTATCTTCATCTTCGCAAATCTGGCTACAAGTTGGTTCTCTTTGCCCATCATCCTTAAATGATACCAATTTAATCATACATGAGGGACATATCTTTTCTCCAGGAATAACATTAATACTAATATTTTTTAATTTCTCAGCAAGTTGCATATTAATTTCTTTACATCCTCCTAAAAACATGAGTGATAATTACTGCTTTAGTGAGTATTTTGCAAAAATATATATAATTTATAGATAATAGCAATAAAAAAAGTTTTAAAAAAGTTTCATGGTTTCAAGTAATAATACCTTTTCTTCTTTTTCCATTGTGTTAATTAAATGGATCTCAGAAAGTTAAGTGGATTGTGGAGTACCGTTTTAAATAAACATATTCATGGTGTAGGCAAACCGTTGCATTTTTATCAAATTGAATACCAGAACAAGTAATTATCAAGTCTTTTTCCACATCATTAAGACTCGAAACTTTCTTGATATCATAGAATTTTACATGTTTGTTTGTTACAAATTTCTTTTGTTTATCATTCTAATTGAACATCTTTCTTTATCATTCATATTGTTAGTTCTGTAAGAAACAATTTTAAAATAATTATTGTTTGAAGATTTAAAAATAGAAAATCTTTTAGCTATTAAACATAATGATTGTATAAAATAAAGATCTTTTATGTGAAATGCAAACAAGTTTAAATATTAGAACTGTACCTTAGACAGCAAGATTCAAAAACCTTTTTAAAAAATGCAAAAATTTATGCAAATTATTTTTTTTCATTATTAAATAACAGTATTTCTTAATTTTTAAATAAAACTTTAAATGCAAATAAATCTAATTTAAAAAAGAAAACCCTTCCAGATTTTTTTGTATTATGGAGTTTGATACATATAGAACATAAGGAAAAATTTTCAGAATTTTATCTTTTAGGCATCTTGAGATAAACATTTTTTTGTACAGGGCATCAAAAAACTTACAAAAAGTGTTACACCATTTTAAAATTGAATTTTTATATACAAGCTTAAATTTTTGTGTGTTTTAGCCATCATTTTTAAGTTCCTAAAAAATAGTTATGTAGAAATTTTGACCATTATTAAACAAGTATTTTATATGTTAAAGCTAATTGTGTTGTGCAATGAGCCTAAAAAATAAATGGCGCTGAAAAAAAAAGTCAAAAAAGAGATTTGGACCGAGTATCAATATCTCTGAAACGGTAAAGAGTCAGACACTAAAATTTGGAGTTAAGTTTTCTTTTATTAATTCAAACTTGTATTCCAAAAATTCAGCAAAATCTGAGATGGCATGGTGCCAAGCATAAATTAAATTGAGCTGGAGTGAACCATTTGGTGATTTCTCAAAATAAAAAAAATAAAAAATGCAAACTAGGTTGACCAATCTTTTTTTGAGGAAATCAAAAGATTTGTTCTGTTTTTTTTTTTTTCATTTTTAATACCAAAATAAGTTAAAAATTATTTTTTGAGATATTTGTCAAAAGACTTGTTTTTGTTCTACTATTAGACTATTTTTGTTCTTCTATTATTTAGTATACCATTTTATAAATATTGGGTTAAAAATATTTCTTTATTTTTTCTAAATATTTGTATTTTTTTCTAAAAAAATACAAATATTTCTATCTGTGTTTGGAAAATGCCAATTACATGTATATGTATTTGAATTTGTATTTAGAAATCTGAAATTAATGTAATTATATTTGTATTTGATCAAATGTATTTGATCCTAACCCTGATTCCAGAAATGAAAAAGAGTGTTGGCCTCCATGGATAGCTTTAATATTGTGGTTAGAAAAAAATGATTTAATAATCTCAAAAATTTTCTCAGTTACACCATTTGAAGCAAGCTTATAGAGAAGACCAGCATGCCAAACTTTATCAAAAGCTTTAGATATGTCAAGAGAAATACTGTGGTTATTTATAGCCTTTTGTCTAGCAATCTTCATCTATGTACAACATAATCTTTCAATCACTTATTAAAATGAAAATTTGATAACTATGTATGGGAACTAAATAATTGAATGAATGA